TTATTGAAGTTTTCAAATTAAACGTTGAACCAAAAGGCGCAATGACTTTTATACCTTGGCTACTCATCATTAGATATTACAATCCAACTGATATGAGTGGCAAAGAAATACTAATAACGCGCGATTTTACAGATATCCTACGATATTTGGACAATTGGCTAGTTGTGTGTGTAATAGGACTATATGCAGACCAATCCGGAGATAATCAGTTAAAAAAAAAAGAGTTGAGGAAAGCCTGAATTGGACTCGGCTAATAGCCTCGTCCAGTTTGCCTGTTAGGGAAAGGTGTTGAAAATTGTATGGCACGTAGTTCTGTTACTCACCGATAGTATAGTCAGTCTGTTGTAATTGCGCATTGCTCAGTCATGCTTAAACCCTTCAATGTTTTAAAACTTTCCAATTAAAGATTAATTTGAATAAATTGATCAACGATTATCTATAGATGTATAAATTCTCAGGCAGCTTAAGTGCTTTCGAACACGATGGCTGATCCGCAATCAGTATATTATTATTTCTGTTGATCCAAAATTATACTTATTACATCACAATTCTTTAACCTAAGCCAATCAAGTGAGAGACCCATGACGCTTCCAGTCATCTGGTGACAAATGAATTAAAGTCTAGTAAAGTCGTTAGACCGTTTCAATCAACACCTCTCAAGAAACTTTTCCATTTCCAACAGCTCTCAAATTTCGTTTGCTTTGTTTTTATAGTTTTGTTTGTTGTTTTTGTTTCTCATTTTAAATTTGTCACGTTTAATTTTTTTTTCCGGTATGTATTAATTCTTCTTTCATCTTGTTTTCTTTTCTTTTTTGGCAGTTAGTAATTTGCAAGCGTTTAGTTGCGATCAAACGGTCAAGAAAATGGAAATTTTACGCCTACTACGCTAATTAACCAAAGTACATAATAATGTCACTCCACCGACCATCCTCGGAGACCCAGGGGCTGTGGGTCGATTTCAAGAGAGGGCATGAAGAGCCCCTGGGGACATTGTCTTACAAGACTAGTTCCAAACGGTCGCAGTCGTTCTGCCATCTGATTGGTGTCAGAAAATCTTTGTGTTTTTCTGCCCAATCAGAGTGAAGTGTCCTTTCGTGTGTTTTAACACGGACATTTACTTATAGCTTGGTTACTCGATATGTTTGTTTGAGCCGTGCAACGCAGACTTGCA